AGTGTCGTAAACGTCTGTGTAATCACAATTTCACACTTTGTGTGTGTGTGTGTGTGTGTGTGTGTGTGTGTGTGTGTGTGTGTGTGTGTGTGTGTTTGTGTATGAGACTGGGCTCTTTTCTCATCTCATATTAACTTTATTGAATGTGAGTCGTGGACATTTCTGCTCCTTGGTTCGGCTGATGGCCTGCCAAAACAAACAGCTGTCATGCCTCAGCGCTGCTGCAGAATCTGAAAGGGAAATTAGCTAACACAACATGCCCTTCTGCTGCTTTGTGGGGCCCTGTCCTGCTTCTCCGTTCAGCAGCTCCAAGAGCTTCGGTTTGGATAAGAATCATTGTTTGATGACCTTTAATATGAAGCTTTAGAATATTTGATCTTTTACTAAAGGTGCCAGTCACAGATGGTGCCTTTCCAATTAAACAGATTGCATGCTGAGTATAAGAAAAGTGTCAGATCAAAAAGTACAGCTCTGTTGTATTCCTTAGAATAATACTAGACTCGTAAGCATATTGAGAGTTAAAATGTGTTATTTGAGTTATTCAGGATGATAGCAAACTAATGGACGGTGCACATAATCAAACCTCACCTAAATATTTGCTTTGAATTATTCAGACAAATAAATATAATGGTTGCATATAAAGTGTGTGTGATTTTACATGTTTACACATATACGAATAAAGGCACACATCTTACCTTTAGCAGGATTGACATAAATCCCTGACTTGTAGAGCATTTCTTCATTTTGCCAGTCCTGGTTCCTCAAAACTGTTTTGACACCAAAAAATAGAACCAGGGCTGCGCTGGAGTACACCAACATTGTTCTGGATGATCTGCGGCGTAGTCGGATGTAGAGGGACCTGATCCCCACTGCAACCAGCAGGCAAAAGCCCATACTCGGGATGTACAGTACTCGCTCGGCTATCACAAATCCCACATAGAAAAACAAGTTTGTGGCAGGTAGGAAAGGGATAGCCAAGAGGCCCAGTGAGAACACCACAACATTTTCAGTGGTAGGTAGCAGAGTCCTGCTCTCATAGTGCTTTTTGGTCCCATTTTGCGTATTATTTATGTGAGCATCCGTATTGGAATTGTTCACGTGCTCATAATCATTATAACTGTAACTGTGCCCATTACTGCTCCCATTTCTGCCATTGGTGTAATGATGCACTTTGCCATTAGTGTCCTTTCCCCTCGGTGCACGATGTGTCCACAAGCCGAACCAAGCTAGCAACAACAGACCAGAATAGAAGACAACTGTATGAAAGTTCCTCCAGTCAGCAAGGCTCCTGATCAGAGGCACGGCATCCATCGACCAATCGAAACTTAGTGTGTCTGGGCAGAGGAGGAGCCAGAAGTTAACAGCAGGAAGGTAGAAGAAGGTCAGGGTCCTGGTGATGAGCGAGGGCGAGTCAGCCGCTGGGTTGTCAGAGTTGGAGAAGTTTGGAGGTTTGTTGCCCATCCAGTAGAAGCGACAGGCCAATAGGAAGAATCCCCACGCTGCCAGCAGAAACACGTTCAGCAGCAGGTGGGCGTTCTTTCTCTGAAAGACAAAGAAAACGAAAAGCAGAGATTATACCGTCAATCTGCAGGAAAGGAAAGTAGGAAATGTTGTAAAATATACTGCAAACATTAAAGGCTCACACTGCAACTGTTTTCTCAGTGACTGTACATTTGCGACTCTCGGACCTTTACTTTCACTTTGACCCAGACCAACGAGTGGAAGAACAGAATCGCTACTTCGACTACAGACGCAGCGAGTCATCGGAAAGTGAATGATTCAATAACCATTCCTAAAGCGTTGACTAAACGGAGCAGCTTTGAAATGTGTTTCATCAAAATCTTCGGTTGTGCCCAGTGTGTGCTTGCACAGAAAGCTGTGAAATAAAAGCAATTACGTTTTGTGACACCTTTTTCCCTTCTTTGAACTTCATGCCTTCCAAGAGGAGGAACACCACATAAAGTTTTATTAAAGCCAGAACATTAACACTGTGTCAGTTTGGGGAATTTTTCAAAATAAAGGTGACCTTGCATCCTAATGTTCTATTTATGGTCTCTGCAGACATAACAAAATAAACACAACTACATAAACTCCATTCATCGTGTTACAGGCTTAATATTAAACACTTTCCCAAATGTTGTGTGGAAATGCCGATGCAATATTTATAGCGTGTTTGGTTGTTTAATCATTTGCTGGCACAGCGTTGAAGAATTACTGGCTCTGTTTCTCCACGAGCCTGTTCCAAAGTTAGGACCAACCGACCTTTTTTAATGTGCTAATGTTGGAAAGTCTAACTTAAAAAAACATGTTTGTGTCCTACAGTAGAAACCTGTACACGGCCTGGAAATAAAATGAATGAAAAACTGAAAATATTATTTCACACCCCAAACGCAAATAATATAGATCATCAAAATATGATCTGTTGGCTGATAGCTCACCCAAAGAGTCTCAGCCACCTGCATATAAATCACCAGGGCATCATTGATGCTGTAATCCAATTATTTAAGCTGAAACCCAAGGCAATCCTGAACCCACAGTGAATGTGATCTTTCTCCATCTCCACATGCCAAAGGAGATGATGATGTCTCATCTGTGATCATAGACATCATGCCACCACTGCTTAGGGGTTGTACTATTGATTTTCTCGCCTGTCCGTTGTCATTTCAGATTGTATCTGTGAAGAAAGGCTTCAGTAACCTCTGGGGACAGCTGTTGTCTGCTAATGATCACTGCAAATACAAAGAGCTGTCGCTGCCACACAAAGGCAGCAGGAAATTAGGCTTAAAACACAGCAGGCGACACCAAGGAAATGATCTACAGACGAAAAATATCACATTCAGCGCATCGAGATGAGAGGGTGAATATAAAAGACTCGTACATAAAAAGCAAACCAACAGAAGTACTTTGTAACAACTCCCACTGGTGTGATACAGTGAAGAGTTAAATAAATCAACTCCCAAATGGCTTCTTTCACCTTATGCAACAACAACAACAACAACACCGACTCGCAGCTGAATATTGGATATATTATTCAAAACAGTTTGGGGAAATATCACAAGAATGAAAAAAAGATCTCACATAAGGTCAGCTCTGTCAAACCCTTCACCGGAGGCTTGACATCAACCCCCAGCGATTCAGTATTTTGTGGGGATGTGCCAGGATATGCCACTGTTGGATAAGTCGTTTAGGCGCTTGGCAACAAAAGGTCAGATCCAGACCACAGTTTCTCATTAATCTGAGCAACTGTTGAAAGCGTTATGGTCAGCTCCCTGTGGAAATCCAGGGCAGACGGTAGGATGAAGACAAATTTTCATTAGATGCTATTAAATGACATCAAATTAGGGAAATGAAACAATAAGTTGCTGTGCAGGATCCTAATAGATGAACCACTCAAGTGAAACAAAAATCAATCTAGTTTAGATTTTATGTTGAAAGAAGAAAAAGAAACTATCTATGATCTGCTCGCTGCTGGACGAAGCACAGAACTGGTCAAAATAAAACATAAAACAATGAAATGAGACAGATCCTCAAATATGCAAATATGAAATGAAATTTTTATAAACATAAAAAATAAAACAGCTTTTTAAATTTTATTTTAAACAAATCAAACAAGTGAGAAATGTTAACTGGGATGCTTTAGAGTCAGCATGAGATGTATCACCTTTGCACAGAACCAAAGGCTTTTACTTTGTCAGTCATTGTGCCATTAGTTCATATTTGCTGCAAAGACATGATACACGGTATCATTACCTCTGCAAGAAGTCCCAAAAATGAACATGTCGATACCAGTCAGAATAACCTGCCTGTCTCATGATAAGTTCTTAGCGAGCTGCACACTGCACATGTGAATGAATTACATGCTTTTTGGCTTTGGGTAGCACTGAAAATCAGATGCACTTATACATATAGCAGTCCTTTAAAATGATTGCCCCACAGCCCAGATTTAAAAGCTGTCATCTGAACTTCGTATGAACTCTTCTTTTCCCCGGCACTTTTAATCATCTCTAAAATCACAGAAGCTGTGTCCAGTTTTGAATCTAAGCAGGTGAGCAGGAACCCTGCAAAGAAATGAAGTGGACTGAAATGGTCTTTAAGGCCCAGCGGCTGTACTTTGAGCAGACTTTAACAGAGAGGCTTGCTGAGCAGTGTTAATACATCTCAATGACTGCTTCAGGGAGATCCAGCTGGGATTTATGAGGATCTTTGACAGACTCTTTAGATGACTCTGGTTTAAGCAAATCTTAACAAGACGCTACCAAGCTGCAAACTTAAAGCACTGCAGGAGAAACAGGAAGAAAAGCTCCGTCTGTTTTTGACAGATCGTTCAAATCTGAGAGTCCTCGGTCACGGCGCTCGGTTCGTACAACAATCGAATGTCCTCTGAGGTGGTTTCAGTGCTGTTAATGAATTATGCTGTAAAAAAAAAAAATCCTATAAAAACGGTAATATTCCGGCAGCTGGGGCGCCAAAATAATACCAGAAAATAACAGAAAATAACTTTTCCATGAAAATACGGTTATTTTCAGTAATGACAATACAGTTTGTTGCCCTAATTTTGCATGGGATTTTGCCTTTTTCAAGTGCTTTTAAACATTAAATTAGGAACAATTTAATGTGATTAAACAATGAAATTACCTATAAAAAAGGTCAATGAATGCAGCAATATGAATAATAATACGTAAATGTACAGAAATACACAGTTGGTTTAAATAACAATGGATTGCATTCATATAGCGCTTTACAATTCCACTTTATAATTCCCCTCTGGCCACCACCAGTAGGCGGTAGGTGAAGTGCCTTGCCCAAGGACACAACGACCGAGAGTGTCCGAGCCGGGGCTCGAATCGGCAACCTTCTGATTACAAGACGAACTCCCAACTCTTGAGCCAGGATCGCCCTAAATAACAATAATAATAATTATTTGATGTAAAAAAAGTTTATACGAATCATTTTATATATTTTTCCATAGCATTACATTTAACAGTTCAATCTTTCAAATAATGGACAAATATTTGTGAAATTATGATGCACTTGTGAATGTATTTTATCTAAATATGCTCATGTACAGACAGATACATTTACAAAACAAGAAAATTATGCTTTATTACATTTAGAGTGATTTAACGTTAATTTACATTTGAAATGTAGAATCAGAGTCTATTTATGTGAATTTAATGATATTCTAGAAGAACAGTACAAAACTGTAAAATACTTTTATATCACGATTTTTTTTACAGTGTACCTTTCTGCAAATAATTTTTGTTCTTGGTGTGATGCAGATCGCTGTCTACTGGACAATGAAGTGGCAACTATGTTTCAGTTCAGTCCATATTCACTTGTGGCAGCCCTAAATTCTAATCATTCATACCTGGAAATGTGACAAACCGATATGCCTCGACTCTTCCCAGAGAGCAGCTAACACTCAGACACCTCCTCCTTAATCACGTCCATATGCCAGTGCTGTAGACTGAGGCGGTGTTTCATGCAAATTCTTGTGCTGCACTGAGGTTCAACTTTTTCTATGCATATCGTCTTCGGGTAGCACCCAAAACATAAAACAGCCCTTTGATTTTGCTTTAGTACACATTTGTAACTCCATTACTCCTCCTGGCATACTTCACCAAATGCACTGACCTTTAAAAAATATATAAGTGGCAAAAGAAAAAAATGTGAAAATGCTCCGAATATATTCTGGGACATGAACCCCGTCGCTATAATCTCTGGAATAAACAAACATGTGCATCCTCTATACTATGCCTCCAGTTAAAAACATCTACTGTTCAAAGGCATAAGTTCAATTACTACCAGGCAACGGCTCCCAGGGCGCTACGGCTCTATTATGCAGGAAAACCAAGGCGTTCCCGCTTTGTGTCTTTTGTCAATAATCCAGTTTAGTCTGAAATAGGTGGTTGAGCACAACCCTGTAGGAGGCATGGGGCAGTGTTTTTTTCTTCTCTTTTGTGTTTTAACAGCAATCAGCTGAGAACTGAAACAATTTAGGCTTTATAAGGCATGCGTGTGAATAAAATATCCTTGGAGATAAAATGCAAAACAGGCCAATTACAGAATCCCTGTTTGTGCCTGCCTTTTTCCATGTCTCCACTTTGATTAGGTTCATTTGACTGAGAAGAAAACTCAATCAGGTTTTTTCTTTTAAACATCCATTTAGTTTTGTGAATGAAGGTTTGTGGCAAAAAAGTGGAAAGACGTCAGGGAGAAATTTAATTAATTTGTTTGGAGAAAAACGCTCTTTTCTCAAGGTACACACAAGCCTTTTTTTGCATTTGGTAAATGGGCATTATTCTATCACGCAAGAGAATAAAAGAAAAAAAAAATCAATCACACAACACATATAGGTAGCCCATCAAAATGCAGCGCTGTGACTGGCTTTCACTTCAGCGAGCACCTAACTGAAAATCCAGTGAAAGAAGTGGCATGTCTGACCTATCCCCACCTCTTCATCATTACTGAGATCAATTGTCTGCAGAAGGCCTTTCATCAAGATCCTGCCTCACATTGATAGACTTATAATGAAAGAAAAA